ATTACCTTCATGAGTGTAAACCAGAGCCAATTATCCACTGCAATTTAAGGACAAAGTAAGGCAACCACTGCAGAAGTTGACATAATGCTTGCAGAAATGGCAAGTGATAATTCTTTATTGTACTCATTGTGATATACTGTTCTTTAATATTGGAAATTTGGTAAGGTTCCAGAAACATTTTGATGGATAATGGAGGTCATTTGAAGGTATCTGGATTTGGTTTGTTGAGATTGACAAGAATAGCACCTGACAAGGCAAAATTAGCACATCCAAACGAACATTTTGATCCAAAAAGTACGTTTGTGAAAGAAAGAAAGAAAAAAAAGAAAACGGTTTCTTTGGATGTGTATAAATATGATACATATGTTCTTTCTGCTCATGGTAAAACTGTGACTAATAATTTGTTTTTTCTGATTACAGATATATATGCAGCACCTGAACTTTATAAAAATTTGGTAATGGATCGAAGTGTTGATTCATATTCCTTTGGTGTCATTCTATACGAGGTACATGGTTTCTCAAACGTTTGTTATCAACTGACACGAATGGAAGTTCCATTCTGACTAAAGGCAGTAAACTGCCTCCAATAGTTTTATTCCTTGTTTCTTGCTGACATCTTGCAGATAGTAAATGTGATTTCCTTTTTTCTACAAAGAATGGATGCTCAACTGCTTCCCACATTGTGATAATTTCTGCTGTAATTTTTTCTGCTTGTGTGGTAGTTTGAGTGAGATTTATGAGAGTAATCAAGGTGCGGAATTTTTTGGTAGGGGGTCGAGGGAGTAATTGTTCAGACAATTAAAGCTGCTTTTTTGTTCAATAATCCGTATTAACCACTTTTTCTGTTTTGTTCTTGTATGAATTTAGATGATCGAAGGAGTAGTGCCTTTTCATCCCAAACCTGCTGAAGAGATTTTGAGATTGATGTGTTTGGAAGACAGAAGACCATCATTCAAATCAAAGTCAAAAAGTTATCCTCCGGACTTAAAAGAGTAAGTTTGGGGTTTGAGATGAAAACGTGTTTTTTGACCTCAAGTTAGGTTATTGAATTAACGACTGTGTTATGTTTGTATGGGTTGTTTTATGTTTCTTACTCATTTAATTAAAAAAACTCTGTGCGTGTGTCTTTCTTTTCAGAAGAAAGAATCACAGTGCATCCTAAGCTTTATCTTGTACCGAAATATGGACATAAAATATACTCGAAGCTTTACTACATTATAATGTATGAACAGGTTAATTGAAGAATGTTGGGCTAAAGAACCTGTTGTTAGACCGACTTTTTCGGAGATCATTGTACGATTAGACAAAATAGTTGCCAACTGCTCAAAACATGCGCGGTGGAAAGACGCTTTCAAGCTTCCATGGTATGCTTCTGTTACCAATTTTCACTCTAAGTTTTTATATGTTACATATGAATGAAATGTTGTTAGAATTCCTCATCATATCATGAGCATACCCAATGTTTCTTCTAAGGCTTCTATATTGAGCTCTAATTTGAGCTTGAATTTATCTTTGGCCCCTTGAAGTATTCAAGGTTGTTTCTGTGCTGGGTTTCTGATTAAGTTGCTGTCTGAAATCTGATTGTTAAGTTATAGATTACCCGCCAGTACAGTGAAATGGATTATTTACTATAGAAGCAAGTTCCAGTGTCATATTTATCATACAAGAATAGTTAGGGGAGGTAGGTAGAAATCAGTTTGATTTCGGTATTGCCGATTGGAACTTCTATGAGTAACTTCATTATGTGTGAGTTGAAGCCGTGTAGATATGTGTAGATATCTGTAGACGGCATTTCCATGCATGTGCCCATAGTAGTATCTTCTACATGAGAAGTTCAAGTTGCAATAGACAAGTTCATTCAAACATGCGCACACATTATATATTTATTACGTATTCGAAATGAGAAGTTCAATTTTGATACACACGGACACACATTCACACACGCACACCTAGTTAACGAGCAAGGGTTGAATGGAGAAAACTTGTTGGCATCTCGATTTACCGAAGAGGGAGTTCGTTTCAAAATCGGGATATAACCTGAATTTGTTGATGATCTGCTTACTTCCACGACCGAGTAGGCCAGCATAGGATACAAAAATATCTTGTACTGAGAAAATGGAAGCACACATGTAGCTTTTAAAGCATTAGACCCATAGATAAAGATTCCTTTGTAAATGCTGTTATTCCATAATCCTGAAGTATCCTTCATAATCTAACCAGATATGATCAACATCGGATTCTTTGCAGGAAATAAGGGGAGGGGAAACGGCAAATCGGATGAAGATTTCGAGGGAATATGATATCGGATTTTTGAAGCTTCATCATATTAAATACTGTAATGTATAAAATCCTGTTGAAATTATTAGAAGCAGAAAGGAAGTGATTTTCATTCTTTTTGTCTGTCCAGGAGCTGGAACTGTTCCTGTTGAAATTATGGTCTTTGATGGCCTTGACAATAAATTTTTTGTTTTAGTTTTGAGAATTAAATGTTTGAGTTGCTTTTATAGTGCTTTCAATTTTGGTCCTTTTTTCCATTTTTTTTCGAACTGATGCGTCTCAAATTAAATTAATGAAAATAATTATCACTTATTTAAATATTATTCCTTGAGGTCTCAGATTCGAACATCATAAATATCACAGGTAAAATTATTGAATGTCAGATGGTTGAGAGTTATCCTTAAACAGATACTACTTTATATTTATCACATATTTATTAAAAAATATTGCAATAACTAACTAATGTTTTTCAGTTAGATATTTGCAAAATAGTGCTTATTTGTATTATTTGTAGAAAAGACTTAATTTATAATATACACAATGCATGGGCCTACAATATATACATAACTACGTAAAACTAAGGGGCTGTTTGTTTGGCTCTAAATCAGTCAACAAAACAGCGTTGAATGATTCAGCATCAAAGTACATTCTGAATGATTCAGAGTCAATATCAAACAGCATGTCACATTCAAAGCTAATTCATACAGACCCTCTTAATCATTCAGCACTTAATCATTCTAAAGTAAACAAACAGTCCCTAAGAAAAATTTCACCTAAAATTACGCATTATACTTTTAAAGTAGTCCAGAACAAAGGTTATATTTAATATTGTCGAACCAACCTTTAATTTTGATATAACATGAAGTTTTAAATGATTTAAGTTATTAAAATTGTATTTTACGATTTTATAAATAGTTTGTCATAAATTATTTTCAAGCGTTTTTAAGTGTGAAAAATAATAATAAGTGTTCTTGAGTAATTTTATATTTTACAAATATTGTTTTAAAGCTCAAAACACTTAATTTTTGGCAAACCCTTTTCAGTCACAAGATCAACATGCCAGTCTCGATACCAAAATTCAAGTAGGTTTTTTGGTATCGATATCATGGCGTTGATATCGATACTGGTAGGTAAGTATCGATACTCACATGAACAATATAGATATTGATGATTCAATGACTATAATTTTGACCGTTAGGATGATTGGTTTCGATATCCACTATCTAGTATCGATACCAAATATGCAAGTGAGCATTAAATGCTCAAAATTAATGAAACCAACGGCTCTAATCAATCTCCAATGGCTCCAAACGGTTAGAATGAAGTTAGAAGATATAAAATGGACCAAGATTCAAATGGACAATAACAAGAAAGTCAATTGTAAGATCAAATCAAAATCAAAAGAGTTTTAGAGTTAAAATTATCATGTTATTTATAACACACTTGTTGGTTTCTTTGTTTATTCTTGTTAAGTGTGATTTAGGTGTGATATGATAAAACGATATTCTGAGCTAAATGTTAATATGTTGAGTGTGATGTAAAAAAATTTAATCTCAAAATCTAAAATGACTATCATATCTCGGACATTATGTTAATGTCCAACTTAGACAACTATTAATATTTTAACGGAAAAGCAAGAGTTTTAAACATAATGAATAGTCGGTTGACCATTTTATAACTTTTAATAATCGAGAGACTTAATAAATCAACATTATATAGTCGAATAACCGTTTTATAACTTTTAATAGTCAAGAAACTTAATAAAACAATACCCTACCCAAAATTTTTCTTAATTTTAACAGTGATTAGTTTAAAAATATTTATTTATTCTCTGGGTCAACTTACCAATGGCAAAATCAACAATACAGGTCAAAAGCAGAAGCCACAACAATCAAGATGAAATAGTCAAACAAATCGACGGTTCACACTCTCCTTAAAACACACCGGCGTTGCAGACTAATTTTTCACTATATCCAGCCCATCCCCCTCTTAAACCCTCCAATTTTTTGCCCGCATATAATTCCCCTGCCTTGCTTTGTTTTCCTTTTCATTTTCTTGCATTTGAGCTCTTAATTTCCTTCGTGTGATTGATCCGAAATATTATGATCTTATCTCTCGCATGAACACTGTAAGTGAAACTTCTTTTCATCAGCAATTCATTTGTTTCTTGTTATCGTTGAATTTTGCTGCTTCCGAGTTTATTATTGTAGCCTTAAGTGTTTCTAGTCGAATCCGTGATGAGTAATGAATATCGGATCTATGTTATCGTTTTCACTTGTCAGTATTTCTCGTTGATATTTTTCAATTTCCAGTTTCAAACGAAGTGAGAATTTATCTCGGTGTTGTTTGGATTGTTTTACTTGATGCCAATAGAGGACTGAAGTGATATATTGAAAATAGTCGATGAAATGATTATCGACTGATTTTTTATTATTATTTTGTGATGATAAACTTATGGTAGTATTCTGCGCTGTTCATGAGTTTTTTGAATAAATATTTTTTTAATTATTTTTTAGTTGTCCTTTATTTGTTAATTATCACCCTTGAACTGAATAAGAAGTCTGATTTTACTTGAGCAACTCCTGATCTTGACTCCTTGATTTCAAGGATTAATTATAATTTTCTTTTGGATATTGACATTATGATTTTGTTGGCCTTTGTAGTATATTGTGATGAAATAATACCTTCTTCGTATACCAAAACTTTGTTTATTGTTCATCCTCTTGTAGGTATGTTGTTCTTTATTTGAAATGTTATCTCAACCAAGTTAATTGAGTGGTTGTTCGAGGAAGGTGAATATCCTGTTGATAAGAAAAACAATTGAAAATGGCTTCTAGAGCAATTTTAAGAAGGAGAAGATTTGTTTCCGATTACCTGAATGCGTCACTATGCCCAGTCCAGACCTTCCAGTTTCTTGGCCATCCAACTCAGAAGCTGGAATTGCGTGGTTATATATCCAATGTGAACTGTCTGTCTGAAGATATTAATCATCCAAAGAAATTGGATGTAAATTCAGTTGCGGAACAGGGTTTAGTGGGTTTTTCAGGATCAGGATATTTTAGTTATAAATCTCAGAGAATCTCAGTTTTGAGTCCTGGAAGTGGAAAATTCCAATTCAATTCTCCATTGAGTGTCAGATTGATGTCATATTCTGTTCGGCATGCCTCAACAGCTACTGCTAGACAACCTGAACCCGGCAGTGATGATGAGGGAAATGAAGAATTGGTTGCAAAAAAGAGAAAGGAAGCATCTGCAGAAGAATGTGATCAAGCTGTTGAAGGTTTGAGTACTGCTAAATCCAAAGCCAAAGCTAAACGGTTGCAATATTCTCAAAAGGTTGCCAAGTCCATTTTGCAAAGAGTATGGGCCACAGTTATTGGGATTGGTCCTGCTTTAAGAGCTGTAGCTTCAATGAGCAGGTAAAACTGCATCCTTTAATTTTTTTCAATAATATAAATAACTCAATTAACATGATTCATATTGATTTTTAGTTTACTGCATATTTGTTATTCTATTGCTTTTTACAGGGAGGATTGGGCCAAGAAACTTGTTCATTGGAAACATGAAATCCGCTCTACTTTGCAACACTACTGGTTGGGTTTTAAGCTACTTTGGGCTGATGTGAGGATCAGCTCACGATTGCTGCTAAAGCTTGCTGGTGGTAGAAGTTTATCTAGAAGGGAAAGGCAACAACTGACACGAACTACTGCCGATATCTTTAGGCTAGTTCCATTTGCAGTTTTTATCATAGTTCCATTCATGGAATTTCTTCTGCCTGTTTTCTTGAAACTGTTCCCTAACATGCTGCCATCTACTTTTCAAGACAAGATGAAAGAGCAGGTAGAGTAACGTTTTTCAATTTTTGCTTGCCTTCATGGTTAATTTGATTTATAACGCTTTGCTATTCAAGCTTTATTCTTTAAGTTCTTTTGTCTCTTTTTAGAACCTCTCGTGTTAAAGCCAGAACCATTGATCTTTTAGTTTATCTTTATTCATGATTCATAATGTTGGTGGGAATGAGTGCATCATTTTCTTTGTCACGCTTAAAATGATATTTCATTATTTGTTTAGTTTTCTTCCAAAACAAGAGTTTTTTATTCACCATGATATTATTGTGGTTGCATATGTGAAAAAAATGCATTGCATGAAGTTTTCTGATTATCATTATTGTTGTTGTTGTTTATTCGAAGAAGTGCTGTCGGATCTTAAATCTTGATTTAGAGCATGTATGTGAACAAAATTTTTAACAAGTTTTATGTTCACCTTGATTTAAGCTTCTTAAATGGATATGAATGAGTTTTTAACAAGTGGAATGTTGAAGTACCTTGCCCCGGAGAAATAAAGAGGGAAGTGAAAAATATAGGGAAAATGATCAATAAGATAAAACATGACGAGGTTATAATAAATAGTATAATTGATAATCTCTATTGGGCTATTTCTGATAATTTGAAGTAGATAGATATACATCAATAGGGATAGGCCTTTCTATGTAAATCAGGATTATCTTAAGGTATCCTTACTTCTTTTTGCATTTAATCACGGGAAATCTGCAGAATATATGTTCTCCAGACAGGAATATTATCTAGACAATTGAATGGTCTGCGCTATTGCTGTTGTGTCCTGCATTAGGGAATGCTTTGGTTTTGTAGAAGTGTTATCAAATGAGTGCCTTAGGTCTGGTGTGTGGCATGTCCCTGCACCCCTCCCCTTTTTTCGGTCAATGCATTTTTCTCAGTTGCTGAACATGTAGGAAGCACTGAAAAGGAGGCTCCAGGCAAGAATAGAATATGCCAAGTTTCTTCAAGATACAGTCAAAGAAATGGCAAAGGAGGTTAAAAATTCAAGGAGTGGAGAAATCAAGCAGACCGCTGAAGATCTTGATGAATTTTTGAATAGGGTAAGATCCTATCTCACCTATGGGTTTTCATGCCTCTTTTCCCTTCTGTTATTCACCTTTAGAAATTACAATATTTTGCAGGTCAGACGGGGTGCTGGTGTATCTAATGATGAAATTCTTAGCTTTGCCAAGCTGTTTAATGATGAACTCACTCTAGATAATATCAGCAGGTCAGTCGTAGATATTTTGTATTTGAAACCATTTGACTACTAAATATAAATTGAAGTGTTAATTTAGATGTTGTATGACTTTGTCATGTTTGTTGTATTTTTCTCTACCAGGCCTCGATTGGTAAATATGTGCAAATACATGGGAATCAGCCCTTTTGGAACAGATGCTTATTTGCGTTATATGCTTCGGAAGAGACTCCAAAGGTAAAATGCTTTTATTCAATCTAAATTAACTTTTGTGTACCTTGTTTCGGAAGAACATATGAATGGAATTTGATGCATGCAAGAAGAGTGAATGGATTGTATCAGATCTGCTTATTGAACTTTTTTCTTGTTGTGGTTGCCTAAGTGGTTTATTTTTTCCTGACTTTTTTTCTCTAGATCTTTATGAACTCATGAGAATTTTTTTTCTTTCGTAGGGATACCTACTTACTATTTATTGGTAGTTCTCTTTTACCACTTGTAAAGTTTAAGCATATTTAAGTTTATCCCTTAAACAATAACTTGTGTTAGTACATTTTAAAATTCTTTATTTATATAGTTTTCTGATTTAGATTTTGGGGAGGGGGTGGTCTTTGTTTTGAGAGCCCAGTGATACTGATTTGGAATAATATGTCATATCTATAAAATTTGGAAATTTGAATGCATAGGCGTGTCCCCTTCAATTCCTTCATTTATATAAGGAATATGCTGAAACTACATACCAAGTGCGGTGTTCTAGGAATATAGAAGGCAATGAAATTTTTTCAATATGGTTTTCTATGGTATTTTAGTTGAAGCAAATTACTTCGTCAAGTTTAACTTCTAGGATCTAACTTAGCTATCTTTTCTAAATCCTTTATCTGCGTATCTCTTTCCTTTTTCAGTACTTTTCATTTCAAGTCATTAAAAATGTTGCTATTGTTACCGTTTTCTTATTATAGCTTTTACTTATATTTTAGGATTAAGAATGATGACAAGTTGATTCAAGCAGAGGGGGTGGATTCCCTATCAGAAGCTGAACTTCGTGAAGATTGTAGGGAACGAGGGATGCTTGGAGCACTCTTGGTGGAAGAAATGCGTCAACAGGTGTTCATTTTTATTCTGGATTTGCACGACTCCATGTTTCCTTCAACTACGTTATTTGTGTATTTTAATTGCAATATCAACTGCATTTGTTGTGACTCCTTAATATGATTAATATCTGTGTGCAGCTTCGGGATTGGCTGGATTTGTCTCTCAATCATGCAGTTCCATCTTCCCTTTTGATCCTTTCAAGGTGATTTGAAGTTGTGTTTTATGTTGTCTTTCTTCAGTGTTTTGCTGGCACTGAACAGTTGATATACTCTGTGCTATTTCTTTTTAAATCCAAATCTTAATTTCTGATGTGATATCCTCTGTAGGGCATTCACAGTATCAGGAAAGCTGAAGCCTGAAGATGCTGTTCGGGCTACGCTTTCTTCTCTACCTGATGAAGTTGTGGATACTATTGGTGTTACAGCTTTACCATCTGAAGATCCTGTTTCAGAAAGGAGAAGGAAGATAGAGTACCTTGAGATGCAGGAAGAACTGATCAAGGTTGAAAAAGGAAGATGTTTTATATTATTTTCATATGAATAGCCTCCTCTACTGTAGGTTCTTTGCTGTTTTAGTCCAACTATGCGGCTCAGTTGACCCTTCTTGTTGTGAAGGAGTTTGTTATAATCTCAAGGCCTGCAAATAGAGGCCTTTGTCTTGACGTTTTCTGCTTAGCTTAAAAAAAAGGTCCAAAAGCAGCTTTCCAGGTGTGCGGTTCTTTGAATTTCATTGGTTGTTTTAATTTGGGACCTTTGTAGGAGGAGGAAGAGAGAGAAGAGGAAGAGATGGCAAGGATGAAGGAATCTAAAGCTACACAAGTAGATGTGGCATTGAAAGAGATGACTATCCCAACGGCTAGAGAAGCGCAAGAACAGGCTATAGCAAGAGCAATGGAAAAAAGAGACCAGCTCTGTGAAATCAGTCGTGCATTGGCTGTTTTAGCTTCAGCATCTGTAAGGATTCGATTTTAAAAATTTCTTATGTGACAGTTATTATTTTGATTCCATTCTTTTGTTCTCTTCATAGCATTGCCACTTGCAATATATATTTGAATTCACTTTGTCCCTCATATGCAGTCTGTGAGCAGAGAGCGTGAAGAGTTTCTTGGTCTTGTCAATAAGGAGGTATGTTATAAACTTGATATTCGTTTATTTGGTTAGCCCAAAAAACTGCATGGGCATTATGTCAACATAACTTTTTAAACTAGTTATGCAGTCGATGAAGCTAGTTTAATAGATAAAACATAATATTTGTGCAATGTCATTTTCTTATTCTTTTGGTCTAGATGTTTTAAGTAGATGTGAGCAAAACTCGATTCGACTCGAAAAAATCATTTTTTTTTAATTTCAAGTTATTCAAGTCAACTCAAATTTTTAGTTAGGATTTTCAAAGTTCGAATAATCAAAAAACTGAAATTTATAACGATGTCATTTTGGTCTTTAGCTAAGTAATTTGATTATTTTGCGATTCGGTCCCTAATTTCTTTGTTTCTTCAATTCTTCCTCCATTTTAGGTTTGTTTTTGACCAAATTTGAGTCATATGCTCCTCAACCACTGTACAATACCTATGTAGCTTCAATTCCACTTTTAAACTATAAATTTCCTCTTTTTGCAATTTAGTCCATTAACATTGCATGATTTCCTTGTTTCTTCAATTCCTCTTTTGTTTTAAGTCCATTTTTGACCAAATTTGAAACGCATGCACCTCTACCACTGTAGAATACCTATGTAACTCCAATTCCTCTTTTTTCAATTTAGTATCTCAACTTTACATTTTATTCAATTTGGTCCTCCGAGTGCAACACTTTGCAAATTCTTTCTCCCCACCAATTCCTTGAATCTTTTATGCTCTCATCAATAATTTGACCTCTGAATCCATTCTTTAAACGAATAACATAGTAAAAGTATCTATTATTCCTATAAAAAAAACATAGTAAAAGTATCATATAAGTTTAGATGTTATTTGATTTATTACATAACATTAAAAATCTTACTTACACATGCGAAAATTTTTCATATGAAGAAGTATATACGTATATCGTATATGGTTAGAGATAGGTTTTTTTAAAAGAAAATTGGAACCAGTTAGTCTTATGACATCATAAACAATTACATTTAAATTTGAATTGAAACTAACAAATATATTTGATTCGACTCGAATTTCATAAATTTGACTACTTGAAAATTTTCAATAATGTTTGAATGATAAAATGGTATTCAGAAACTCGACCAACTCAAATTTTTTCCAGTCCTATAATACTCACCATAGTTTTGAGTACTGACTTTTCAGTTGTGACTTACTAGGTTAGCATAAAATGCATTTGGTATTTATTTGCAACTTTTTTAACTTGGAAAAATCGTTAAAGAATGACAAACTTTCTAATTCTGTTCGTATCCCTTATTTTCTGCTGATGTTGGATTTTGCCAATGTTGCCAGATAGAACTTTATAATAGCATGGTAGACAAAGAAGATGGTGAAAAAGATGCCATTAAGGCATATAGGGCTGCAAGAGAGGAAAGTGACCATTCTAGTGAAGTGTCTGATAGTGATGAGGTTTCTTCAGCGCTTATCGATAAAGTAAGACTTATTCGAGCCCAAGTTTTTCTGGCAATTTATCTCTTCTAATCATGTGATTGAAATAATAGTCTTTACCATTCTTGCTGCTCATTAGGTTGATGCTATGCTCCAAAATCTTGAGAAGGAAATAGATGACGTAGATGCAAAAATTGGTGATGGATGGCGAGTACTTGACAGGTGAAAATTTGTTTTTTGATTCTTTCCTTTTCTCATTTTTGGCTACGTCCTCACTCATCACATGGGGCTTACCACCACATTAATTACTGCAAGGTCTATGTAGTCGGATTTGTGAGAAATGTTCTATGCCTACAGGGATCATGACGGGAAAGTAACTCCCGAGGAGGTGGCTGCTGTTGCACAATACTTGAAGAATACATTAGCAAAGGAGGGTGTGCAAGAACTCATCAGCAATCTTTCGAAAGATAGAGGTCAGCTTCACAAATCTTCTTCCTTTTTGCTTTAGCTTTGTCCTAATAAATAAATAGACAGGAATATACTTCTCGTTTAGGTAAATGTATATCAGTGTTACTATAAATTTGGCTTGTTACAGTTGCTTTCCCTTCTATGATCGGTAATTCCGACATGTAATCCATTTCCGGAAGAGCCTCTTAGTCTGCTTTCATGGCTGTAAAACAGTTGAAAGATCCATTTTATCCTTAGAGCATTATGATTAAGCAGAAAATGAACTACTTATAAGTGTATCATCTTAACAATGGACAAGGTGAATCCGTATCTCAAGCTGATTGAGAAAAATATGAATTTAGCTCAATCTGATTGGATTTATTAGTCGTTCATCTGCCTTTTTGCCGTTTTTATGTAGCACGGAAAAGGGTAATTTTATCGAAAGAAACATCTTAAGTTACCTAACAATCCGTTAGGGTGAATCATCTGTTCACAAGAATGACAGTAATTATATCATTGTTTGAATGCAATAGATGGAAAAGTTCTTGTGGAAGACATCGTCAAATTGGGCAGTATGATGGAAGACAACACTAGTGGCGAGGAGGAGGGAAGAAGAATGTAGAGATTGTAATCCATTTTCGAGAGAGCTTCATTAATTATGATAGGTGTAGGTGGTGGAATGCATACGTGTTGCAGGCATGGTGGTATTGAACTGGACTGATGGAGGACTTCAAGTTGGAATGGGTCAGTTTTTCTTTTCTTGACCTTTTATTTTATAAAGAAACCTGGGATAAAAGGAGATGTAAAAATTATAGGTTTACTAGACTTGCTAGTAGTTGTTAATGCATTATATTCACACACGAAAAAGAGCTTGATGTTGAAAAGAGAAGGAAGTGCACCATATTTTGCTTTATATGATTTAAAATTTGATGATCGTTTTTGGCGGAATCAGGCAAATAATACATGCGGAATAATTAATGAGCGACACCTTCAATTATATTTTAGGATCTATGTTATTTACTACAGTGTTTTAGAACTCATCATGTCTATATTTTTATTAGAACATGTCATGAGATATGATAAATTTTAATAAAAAAATTATATTTTATTAAAATTTGTCATGGTTACACGACGAGTTCCTATACGTAACAAGTTACAAAGCACTATAGTAATTACCATGTATCCCAAGACCAACGGTATTAGTATATTTCAAAAATATTTTTGGCGCCATCATTGTCACACTAACTTGCCATCGTTTTTACTATTTTGCTTTGATTATTTCATTTTTGACCTTTAATTAAAGTGAAGTTGCGGTCCAAGACGCTCGAGGGAAAGTACGTGTTAGTTGATATCAAATCAAGAATTTAAATTTAAATAATTGTTTTCTATCCTCGTTAAAAAAATAAATATATATTTTATTTTAACATGAACATGTTTTTGTAATTAAAGTAGTAAACAACTTCATTATTAAATTAAGGGTTAATTACATGAAAAATCACTTACGTTTATTTTTTATCTATTTTTTGTCATTGATTTAAAAAAACATAAGATATTGTCACTTTCGTTTTTATTTAATTAAGACGTTGTCATCACGAGTTAACTACGGTAAACAATTAATAGGATATGTGGCGTGATAGTTGGTATAATCACATATTTGGTCTTTATTATTTACATATTCTCTTAATTTAGTCATCATTTTAAATAAACGTAATCGTAAAATAAATATTTTAAAATAAAAATAAAAATAAAATATTTTTAAATAAAATATTCTTCCAATGTGATTTCTTTTATTTTCTTTCAACCAAAGGATGATATGTGTCACTCTTTGATTGGTGAAAATAAATATATTAAATTAAAATAAAGTTAATCCTCCAATCGAATGGTGATACGTGGCATTAGGGGTGAGCAAAATTCAACTCGACTAGAAGAACCGATTTTTCGACTTGACTCTTGAAAACTTGACTCGAATTAACTTCGAGTTGTAATTTCATAAACTCGACTCGATTCGGAAAAAATTCAAGTTCAAACAGAGTTGTAAAATACAACTCGAATAACTCAAAAATTTTAGTAATTAGTGGATTGATTTTCAAATTTGGTATCATAAATGTATATCACATATGAAAACAATATGAGGAAATACACATGTATTGTACATGGTTATAAAAGATCATTTAAATTGGAATCAAATAGTATCATAATATTATAAATATTTATAATTAAATTTAAATAAAAACTCAAAAATTTGACTCGACTAGACTCTAAAAAATTTAAAGTCAACTTCAAATTGTAAAATATGACTCGTCAACACGAATAACTCATATTTTTTTACTCGACTCGGCTCGGTCGAACTCTCACCCCTACGTGGCATGACATATGGTCTCATTCGATTAGAGGATTAAATTTATTTTAATTTATTAAAAGTATGAGTAAATTGAGAGAATATGTAAATAACATAGACCAAATGTGTGATTATATCAAAATATTTAACTGCTGTTAACGACAGTTAACTCGGGGTGACTACATCTTAATTAAATAAAAACGAAATTGATCATATTTTATATTTTTTTTAAATCAATTATTAAAAGTGGACAAAACATAAACACAAATGATTTACCCTGTAATTAACTGTAGTTATCATTCACCTTTAAATTAATTTAAGTGTAGTTATCACTCATTTCTTAGAAATATATTCTAGAAAAATTGTTATACTTCAATATCTTTTAAGCAGTAATTAATTTGGACTTTTTAGTGGATCCACATTATAAAAAGATATTATTTAATATATAAATGGTTTATTCTTATTTTTACCCTTGAATTATATTTACTTTCATTTTAGTATTTAAAGTATTATTTTTATTTTGATACCTAAATTATTAGTTTTGTCCTATCTTGTTCAAAAAATTAATGTCATCTAATTAGAACGTGACACATGACATGGTTTTATCGACTTCTTTTCAATCTTGGATAGGTTCTAAAATGGAACAAAAAAAAGTTTTAAGTACCAAAATAGGAAATTAAGTATATTTTAAATTTTGAAAACTGAATTGTTTATTAATTTTACTTATAAAAATATAATTATTTATTAAAATTTTAAATATTACTAGTATATCATACTGAAAGGTGTATTAGTTCACAAATCATAATTTAAAAGCTCAAATAAATATACATTTATTAGTGTTAATCAAACGTATAACATAAGGTTCAGCTCTATCACTGTATTTATGGTGAAAGAACAAAGAACCCTCAATGTACAAATACAATACCCCATTCTATAAGCAGCATGCACTATTCTTTACACCAAGTGCAACATAAAATGTAAAAAGGGTAAATTACACATTTAGTATTTAAACTATCAGTTTTGGTTCATTTTAGTACCTAAACTTTTGAGTTTCTTAAACACGTACCTAAAGTTTAGCTTTTGTTTCATTTTAGTACACCGCCATTAAAAACTTTAGTTTTTATTTCATTTAAGTACTCCGTTCAAAATTTTACGTTAAATTTTAAAATAATTGAAAGTTTAGGTACTAAAACAGACCAAAACTGATAGTTTATGTACTGAACGTATTATGTTTTTAACGGCCGGTACTAAAATAAAATGAAAATTAAACGTTAGGTATGCATTATTGTTTCTAGTTAATTTCTTTTAATTTGTTGTCACCTAAACAGTACCTGCTTGATCGGTTTCAAACAAAATAACAAGCTGCAGAGATTATTTTGAACCGACGATTTGATTGTCTTTAAGTACTTAATTTCTATAACATCAATCCGACATCAAAATTTTGATCCATCACTAGTAGTATTCATTGTATCCTTAATTTCAAGTAAAGCATGGAGGAAATAATGGTTGTTATTGTCGGAGCTGGCCCTGCCTGAACCGCCTCTCGATCCCGAGCATCGTGCTTGAAAGAGAGGATTGCTACGCTTCTCTTTGGAAGAAGAGATCCTATGACCGCCTCAAACTTCACTTGGCAAAGCAGTTTTGCCAGCTACCCTACATGGACTTCCCTTCAAATGCACCTACTTATGTGCACAAAAACGGCTTCCTCGACTACTTGGACAACTATGTCTCACACTTCGGCATAACCCCGAGATATCTACGGTCCGTCGAGTCAGCGGCTTATGATTCGGATTTTGGGAAATGACGGATCGTGGTCACTAACATGACGGGATCAGACGTGACTGAGTCCGAGGTGTACATCTCGAGGTTTCTAGTAGTAGCCACCAGGGAAAATACCAAAGGTTTGATCCCCGATATTAATGGTCTCGAGAGCTACGGAGGGGAATGCATCCAGTCCAGCCAACACGGGAACGGAAGGAAACATAGAGGCAAAGACGTTTTGGTCGTCGGTTGCGGTAATTCCGGCATGGAGATCGCGCATGATATTTGGATTTGGGGTGCCAACACTTCCATTGTGATTCGAAATCCGGTACATGTGCTAACCAAGGAGATGGCTAAAATGGCAATGGTCATGTTACAATACCTCCCGGTAAAAGTAGTGGACACAATCACAGTGACCGCTAGTAAATTGAAATATGGTATTCAAAGGCCAAGGGAGGGTCCATTCCATCTCAAGCAAATAACTGGTCGGTCCGCTGTCATCGATGTCGAAACCGTTAGTAAGATCAAAGCCGGAGAAATCCAAGTTATGCCGAGCGTTAAACACATCCAAGATAGAGACGTCATCGCGTTCGCAAATGGCGAGTCTTCTCGATTCGATGCCATTGTTTTCGCCGCCTGGTACAAGAGCACGGTCCGGAACTGGCTCGAGGGAAGCCGTGAGAGCTTTGATGAGAAAGGGATGCCCACAAAAGGCTTTCCGGATCACTGGAAAGGGGAAAATGGGATATACACTGCAGGATTCTCAAGAAGAGGGCTGCAAGGTATTTCAAGTGATGCTCATATATATATATATATATATATGCTTTCTGCCGAAGCTTTGGGTTTTAATACTTAATCACTCTTTTCTTCATTTTTAATAGGATAAACTACACATTTAGTACCTAAATCATCAGTTTTGATACGTTTTAGTACCTAAACTTTTAATTTTTTTCAAAATCATGCCTGACGTTTAGTTTTCATTTCATTTTAGTACATCGCCATTAAAAATTTAACGTGTTTGGTACATAAACTATCAGTTTTGATCCGTTTAGTACCTAAATTTTCAATTATTTCAAAACTTAACATTAAATTTTGAACGGGATATTAAAATGAAACAAAAACAAAAGTTTTTAACAGTGGATACTAAAAAGAAACAAAAACAAACTTTAGGTATGATTTTAAAAATTTAAAAGTTTAGTATTAAAACAATTCAAAAATGATAGCTTAGATACTAAACACGTCATTTACCCTTTTTTAATATTTTATGTGGTACATTATAGAATGGGGTATTGTATTTTATATGTTTGATTAACATTAATAGTTATATATTTATATTTTTTGTTGAACTTTTAAATTATGATTTGTGAAAAAATACATCTTTAAGTAGGGATATAATATTTAAAATTAATAAAAATTCTGATTTTTATATGTAAAATTAATAAACAATTCAAGTTACAAATTTGATGACAATAATTTTTTAAACAAAACATGATAAAAATAATAACTTAAATACTACATATTTAGTTATTTAATTATTATTTTCATTACGTCATCTAATGTTTTCTTAAAATTATATTTAACATTATATTTATTATACTTTTATTATGTTTTGATTATCCATAATTAAAAATTTTAAAGATGATATTGATATGTGGCTATAAGATACTATCATATCATCACTGGAAAAAAAATAAAAAGTTATGACATCAATAATTTTTTATTTTTAACAATGAATAACCAAAATGAAATTAAAATGTAGAATTATATATAATTTTTTTAAAATAGTTAATTAATCAAAACAAAACAAAAATAATAATAGGTTATTAAATATATTGTTTACCTTTTAATTTTTGGATAAAGAACGCAGATGGTGTCCCGACCAAATGGAACTATTTTATTAAGTCCCTTAACTATTAAAAATTATAAAATGATCCTTCAACTATAGAATATTGCTTTACTGAGTTCCTAGACTATTAAAAGTTATAAAGTGATCATCCAACTATTTACTATGTTCCAAACTCGTCCTTTTTGTTAAGAAAATGATGATATTTTGAGCTAAACGTTAACTTGTTGACTGTGATGTGATGTGATAAAATATGATCCCAAAATCCCAAACGACTATCATATCTCAGTCACGGTGTTAATGTCCAACTTAAACAATTGTCAATTTTTAACGGAAAATGACGAGTCTGAAATATAATGAATAGTCAAACGACCATTTTGTAAATTTTAATAGTCGATGGACTTAACAAAGTAATATTATATAGTCGAATGACTATTTTATAACTTTTTATAGTCGAGTTACTTAATAAAGTAATATTCTATAGTCGAATGACTATTTATGTACTTTACGCTTAATTTTTTTTTCCTCCCTAGTCCCTTTCATTTTTTTTTTTTGGGTGTGTTGTTTTTAGATAAATTATTAAAGACCTAATAACTAATTTAACATTAAAGGGGAAAAAAAAGAAAAGAGATTCCCGTCCCTCTTTCTCCCTAACCTCTCTCTTCGCTGAAATACAAATCCCTATATTCTTCCTTACTTCAATATGGGTATTTTACCCATACTATCTTAAACACCAGAAATCAAGCTATCTTCTTTTTTTCTAATTTCGTTTTTTTTTCTGGGTTCTTTCTAATCTGGGTATATCTGAAAATGGGGAAAAACCAAGCCCACAAGGCTATGCAGAGAGCTAAGCTTGGCTCTTCCTCTGCTGGCCCTGAAGAGATCGAGGATGGCATGGTTTGTAACCTTCTTTGTTCAAACAATTATATCTATTTGATGCATTTTTTTAATGTAAAAAGATTGTTTTCTGATAGTTAGCTGCGCTTGTTTTTGTTGATTTGTTTCCATTTCACTTATATTGATAGTTGGGTTTCGTGGCGCTTTCCAAGCTTGCAAATTTACTTTTGGGGTCTTGTAAAATCTTGTATCGAATTGTTAGTCATAGTTCGTGGGTGCATAGGTAAAATTTGTATGTAGTTGATTCAGTGTTGGAAGTTAGATGTGATTTAGTGAAGCATTAATGTTAATCCCTCACAAATTGTTTTGAGAATCACTATGGTATTCTGCAGTTTGATTCGCAGATAAGGGATTTTGTTATTTGTTTTACTTCAGTGTGATTTTGATTTGATGAGCTGCATTTTACTGAGTTTATGGTTTTGAATTTATTACTATGTTTTTCTTATTTCTGGGTAATCAGTGTAATAAATGTTATGTTTCTTTAAGTATGCAATCATTCAATTTTTTTACAAATTTGTTTTTGATCTTTACCGATGAAGTTCTTTTGTTTCTCGATAGTTATTACGATTGCTGGATTTAAATAGTTGGTTGAAGAACTTAAGAACATTGGCTGCAAATTGGTTTTTGATGGAAACATTGCTCTCTTCATGTTATTATTATTATTAATTTTCCATGAGATTGTAGATTTTTTGTTTGGGATATTTTGTTTCTTAATTATTTTTTGTTTTCTGGAGCATTTCTGATGAGGAGAATCGCAGGTGGATGGTTCTTTTCATTCACCAGAGTGGCATGCAGCTCGTTTGGCCAGCCTTAAAACTTCTCATACGGTTACGTGGGAAGAGTTTAAAAAGAAACAAAAAGTAAGCTAGAGAAAGAAATCCCCCCTTGTTTCTATCATCTTGACTCGTCAGAAGAGTTGCTTAAGTATTCATATTGAATCGGACAAAGATGCATTATGAATCACATGTTTCTGTTCTTAGACAAGCATATATATTGGAAAACTCATTAAGAATTCCATTTTCCATTTTTTGTATGGATGTGTCTACTTAGTTATTCGTATGACTAAATCTCTTTCAAATGATCCACAAAACTTATGTGCTTCTTTATTTATTAGTTGAATGCAAGTATGTCATTAATGTCATTACAGGTAGGGAACAAAACTCTTTTCCCCTTGCAGTTTATCAATTTAGTGTGCATTGGCGAGAAATTTGCTACTTTGCATTAAGCCTTTGTGGATGAGTTAGTTGGCCAGAATACCATCCAGTTAAGTATTATTTGTCAAAACAACCTTGCCATATCGGTACTAGTTTCAAACATCAATTGTGAGCTTTATGCAACTGAGGCTTATCATCAGCAAGGCTCTAAGAATAAGACACTAGGGAATTGCTTTGTTGAGGTTATCTGTTCATTTGCTACATATGATAAAGATGTTCTTCAGACTAGTATGTTAAATTGCATTTCTAACCCAGACATCTATTTGATTGTGATAAACAACATGATTCATAAGGCATGTTGCAACATTGTTTTATGTGTTTGTTGATTCGATAGGAAGATGCATTGAGAAAGGGGGAATTAGAAGCAGATACAGATCGAATGATGCGAGAATATAGAGCTCAGCTAGATGCTGAAAGGGCAAGCAAGCTTGCGCATGGTAGAAATCATTCCAGTAGTAAATCAAGCCATAAAAAGGGTACATCTAAAAGGCCTTAAATAGGCTGGTCTTCTCATGTTAATGCTTTAGATGCTGCATCTTTTTCTTGCTCTCTGAGGGTGTTGAATTCATTGCACAGATAGAAAAGACAAAGATGCAAAGAAGCGCAGCAGCAAAAAGAGAAAGGTAGTTCCAACAACAACATGACTAATTCTATGTTTTGTATATGAAATGAAAAGAAAATAATGTTGGTATGTTAACTATTTTTAGTTCAGTTCTGCTATATTTAATGAGAATTACAAAACAAATACAGATGAAATTGATGAAGCCATAGAATCGAACCGCATCATCCCTTTCATTATTAGTATTATTAAGTGCAGTCATTGAACCTTTGACTTTATGAAGCGTTCAAGACGCAGGTCTTCCGATTCTAGCTCCTCAAGTTCATCCTCAGAATCAAGTAGTGATGACGAGAGAGAATCAAGAAGATCGAAGTCCAAGTCTAGGAGAGAGAAGAAAAAGGAACACAAATCAAGAAATAAGAAAAGCACTGATAATGAAGAAGGTGAAGGTCCAGTGCCGCTTTCAAGATTTTTTGGGAATGTGAAGAGTTAAAGTGGCATGTTAAAAGATATACTAAATTTTCTCCCGTATTTTCTGAATTAAATGTTTGTAATGATGCTTGATTTCGTATTTCCTTAGGTCTTTGTTTTTTGCTTCATTCCTATTTTGTAGTCATTGATGGATCGAATTTATGAAAACCTGTTAAATCTCATCAGTTAATCTCTATGACTGTCTGCATTTAAAAGCATTTGATTGATGGTTATTATGACTTTAGAGAATGCAAGTCTCTGCATCTTCCTCTTGATCAAGACTAACCATGATCGAGAAATTGGAACAAATGATGCTACTTATTGAATGTTACAAGTATGCCAAAGTATATCTCCATTTCAGAAACAAGATGAGAGTCATTACAAGGGTGGTCGGATGCCTTACGAGCAGCAGTTGCATGACTTCACAAATTAGAACAAAGTAATCAAGACAACCGATACAAACACCAATACAACGGTTTTCGTTTCATGCATTTCTGCCCATATCTCAATTCAAGAGCTCATCCTGTTCTGGATGGAACCTATGTACAGGAAGAAATTGATCACCAATCCCAAAACATAAAAGCATTTTTACAGCACTGATTCAAAGCCTCGTTACTGCTATCGATATTGTGGGTTGAATGCAAGTGCCTCCTGGTATATTGACTCCTTTATCTGCTCCTCAGTTAATGCATTCCGCTCGAACTCAAAGCTAAAGGGGTTCATACAAACAGGCTCATCCCATCTGTTATGCAGTTTTGATAGATAGGGGTGAGCAAGGGCATCTTCAACTGCAACAAATGGGGAAGTCGAATTAAATGAAGACATCGCAACATGGCAATTGAACTAAAGAGAAACAAATGTTCTTTCGCTACAAACTCACCGGTAATCCTTACTCTGCGATCAAACGTCAACATCTTTTCAACAAGATTAATAGCTAAAGGATGGACATTTGGGAACTTTTCTGCGAAAGATTGACGGGGATAGACAGGAAGAGTTCGTAGGTATTTCTTAGCATTTTCACTCAAAAATTCCATTTCAGCTTCTGATGGAGTGCCAATTAGCTGCAAGTCAAAGAGTTCAGTGTACATGGTGAAACAGTACAAGCATTTTTTTGTAGTTTATCGTTTCTTTTTCCTGAAATGCTCATAGCACCCTATTTAGCAACTTATTTGCCCGCACTTTACAATTTACATAATTTATAATGGTTGTAGGATAAAAACAGTTTACCTCCAAAAGCAATCGCAACTGTTGCACAGGATACTCTCCAGGAAATAATGGCCTCCGAATCATCAATTCCATAAAAATGCAACCCACCGACCATATATCAATGGCTGTAGTATAATTCGAAGAATTCAACAACAGTTCCGGTGGGCGGTACCATCTAGTAACAACATATTCCGTCATAAGATCACTTTCGGAGGAGACACGAGCCAGTCCAAAATCACATATTTTCAAGTCACAGTTAGCATTCACAAGAAGGTTGCCAGGTTTTAAGTCCCTGTGCAGAACATTTGCGGAGTGTATATATTTCAGGCCGCGTAATATTTGATAGAGGAAATACTGCAAGGCACAAAGAAAGATGTTCATTTGATTTCAAGGCTCAAATGTTAACCCATAAAAACCATGGCCACTATAATCAACTTAGATACTTCTAGTTGTTGGGTTTTTGTTCTGAAAACATAAAGCAAAGAAACAATAACAAGATTTCCAAGTACATAGAAAAATCATGCCAGAAAATGGAGTTTCTTTTATTACCGTTAGCGTCTACTTTGATACTTTCCTATGAAGAACACTTTTTTGTAAACATGGTGACAACCACTTCTCTGCTTTGCAAACTAATAAAACTTTCATTTGTACGAGAACAAGTTTAAGGGAGCAAAATTACTAATCTAAATTACCATAGTCAACTGGAAATAGCTATACCATTCAAACTTTAGCTAGTAACTGAATATGACTACTATAAAGGCTAACCAAGAATATGAATTCCAACCTGATAATGATCTTCTGTAAATTTTTGTTCCATAAGGAGTACCCGCTGCAGGTCTGCAGCCATCAGCTCATATGCAATATAAACATCATTAAAGCATTCCCTCTGGGGTGGTGGAATTATATCCCTGATTGCAACAATCTGCAACAAAAAAGATATCATTCTTCCTAGCTCTCTATCTGTATATGCGTGTCTTATAACACAAATAACCTATGCTTGTGTCTATTCACAACTAGAAAAAAGAATTTACACAAAGATATAGCATGCTAAGGTTTATACAAGAACACTAGTGATAGCTTTACAAAATGCAAATCAACAATATATTCCATTGATCTTAACAGACAAATTCAGGAAGTGAAACCATTTTAAGATGGAATGAAACTGTTTTAAAACTTGAAAGTACAATTAGTTGAGGGCTTTGAGGTTTTTATTAGTAATCCAACATTCTCAAATTGCAGTTGTGGTCGCGTCGAGTTTATCGCGATTGTGGGCATAGCGGTCACTACTGCGATAATTGCAGGTATCGCGTCGTACAATAACGGTTGCGGATGGCACCACTACCGTTATTTAAATCCCTTCAATCCCATCTAAAAGGGAAAAATAAGCATTGGCAGGTACATATGAAAAGAACTTTCTGTTCACTTGAGAGACTCCAAAATGCTGGTTGTTAGCATGTAGCATGAGGAAAGGGCAATCAACAACATTAAAAGGCTTGATCCAATAGCATAGCCATCAACAACATTAGAACAACAGCCAAACAGAAAATAAAACCAAATAAAGGAAAGTGTTAATAACAAAATAATTGCACAAGAAAGCAAGTTAAAATAACCCAGAAAAAAGAAAGAAAAAGAAAATAAGATTCCACTCACTGACGTTTTCATGTTTCATGTGGCGAAGCAGCTTGATCTCACGAAGAGTTCTCTTCGCATCAACCTTGTTATCAAACGCATTCGAGATCTTCTTCAATGCGACCCTTTCATTAGTCTCCGAATTCAACGCAGACCTAAACCCGAATGATTGAAAAGAATCAACAAGATGACGATTCTTCAAGTAGCAAAAATCAAGCTTGTAAGAGCGGAACTAAAAGAAACATAATCAAAAGGGAACAAGAACTTGCCAAACGATGCCGTAGGCGCCTTTACCGATAGGAATGATGGGGGGTTTATATTTAGCAGTGATCTCGAAAATGCTGGCCAACATGCTATATTGAATAAACCTGCCGCCGTGACTAGGAGTCGCCGAAATTTCAATCCCGACCGGCATGTGCGGTGGTTTGGGCTGTTCTTGCGGCGGAGCTGCCTCGGAAACCTCGGTGTCAGCAGGCTGAGGTGCCCCACCCCCTTCCATTCAGTTAAATTCTGGCGGCAAAGGAAATTGGCGGTGGTTGGTTAGTTGAGTGGATTTAGCTTTTGGAAGGATCCGTTGTACTTTATTGGTCAATTGGTCTGTTTGCTTTTCTTTTGGGAAAATTACATTATATAGCCATTAAAGTATGAGTCATTTGTTTTCAAAAGTAACGAAATAGTATTGAAATTTTAAAAAGTAACATAATAGTCACTAATTTTATCGTTTTATAATAAATCATTTCAATCATTTACATGGAATTCTTTTTTTTCAATAATAAAGATAATGATCAATCATAGGGAATACTACTCCTCCACAAGTTGGTGGTATTCGACATCCTCCAGATATTCTTTATATATCTCAACTAGATCCTTATGAAAAACTGTGAGATTAAATGAGCTCTTCGAAGAAGGTCTCATCAGACCATCAGCCACTCTGTTACATCAACGAGACACATAGTTAAACTCGACCTATCAGTTTATGTTGACTAGTTCAGTAATGTGCAGAACCATCAACGAGCCACCCATAGTGTTTCCATTCCACCCAACCTCGACGAGAGCCTCTCTACCATTCAATTCCACCTCAATCGCTTGAATTTAAAGATTCTAGCGTATGTTAATATAGACGATTACGATGATGAGTGACGACCATTTACTTAAACTTTGACTAGATTCAGGGGTCAATTTAATATTTTATATAAAATTTATGAGTTTAATAAATATATTATGTAAAGTTTAATATCAAATTAATATTTTGTCTAAAATTCAAAGGTCAATTTAAAATTTAACTATGTTTACTGGCGTGTCATGTCAAAAAGTAGTGAAAGTTTAGTCTATTGATCCAAATAAGAGGAACCTAAAGCAAAAGTGACCAAAACCAAACCTTTTCAAAACCGATAACCATAAATCAAACAGATAAAAAATATAAAGGACCACAAGTGTTGTTTTCCATAAAATATAAGTACTCACGCTTAAATTAAGTACTTAGGTGGTGTTTGTTTTTGCAGAAGTAAAATGTCTGCAGTCTGCGGACTACATCTGCAGGCATCTGCAGCAAAAGAGGTGGATCAAAAGTCTGTAGTCTGCAAGAAGAAGACTGTTTGTTTTTTAACGTCTGCAGACTGCTAAAATAAACTGAAATATAAATAAACTGATTTTTTAAACTTAAAAGAGTTTTGTAATACTGAGATTTAAATAATTTTAGTTTTACAATACTGAAATTTAAATAATTGATACAACTACAATAATAAATTTTTTAGAAAAATAAACACCACCTTATTAATTTTATTATAAGTCTCACATAATCACATGTATTATTAGTTTTATAAGTTTTACAGAATAAAATTTATAAATGATCATTAAATTATATGGTTTTTTTAAATATGCAATTATGTAATACTTTTAATTTTTTTAAATATATATTCATAATTTATTTTTATAATTATATGATATTTCTAGAAAATATTTTTTAATTTATAAAATTATTTTATGATTATTTTTTATTTAATTGTGATTATATTTTAAAATTTTAAAAACATAATTTATAATTTTTTATATTTTATATTTTAAAATCTTAATTATCAAACAATGAAATCATTTTTTATTAAGCAATGTGGTTTAAATACTTACATTTTGTATAAAAAGTTTAAATATAATTTAAAAATAACAAATCCAAAAAAATATTATATTTAAACTTAAATAAATATAACATTTTAATAATATATAAAATAATTTATATGATATAAAATTAAATATATATATATATATATAATATTAAAAAATTAATATTTAATTTATTTAAAAAATTAATATTAATATCTATAATATAATATTAAAAATTAATATTTAATTTATTTAAAAAATTAATATTAAAATTAAAATCAAATATAATATAATATAAAATTAAATATAAAACCTCTTTGAAGAGGTTATAAGACGTCTGCAGACATAAGGTCACGTCTGTGCCGATCAGACCACGCGCATACGTTAGAAGAGCTTATGTCTTCTAAAAAACAAACGGTCTGCGAAGCTCAATGTCTGCGTGTGGTATGTGCGGCGTAGATATAAGAGCTTTGCAGACCTTACACAGTAAAAACAAACATCACATTATTGTCATGTTTTCACAAATATTGTTTAAATATACTATTTTATGATGAGCAACTCAGATTTCTATAAAGAGTAAACTATGTGGATAGTCCTTTATGTTTAGAACATGACCGATTTTGGTCACCAATTTAAAAAATAAGGGGAAATGTTTCTTAATATTATCAATTCGTTCGATTTTAGTCCCTCAGTCATTAATTTTCGTTAACCCCTTTTGTTGAAGTTCCTAACATGGCTGATGGATTAAAATTGAAAGGATCGATAATGTTAGGAATTAAAATCGAACGGATCGATAACGTTAGCGGCCATTCACCCTTAAATTTTAAATTAATGACCAAAGTTCAAACTGAAAACATATGAGACTATATGTATAGTTTACTCTTTTATAAATCATAAGTGTGTACGTTGATTCGATTTTAAATAAAAAATATATTGGCGGTATTTCTGTATATGTCTAGGGTAAAGTATGTAAATAGTCCCTAAACTTCTACGACACTTACATTTTGGTCACTCAACTTTTGAAACTTACAATACAATCATCAAATTTTTAGTTCGTTTTCAATAAGATTCTTACTGTTACCTCCCATTAGTTTTTTGCTAACTAAAAATTTGATAATCGTATTGCAAGTTTCAAATGCTAAATGACTAAAATGTAACTGTCGTAAAAGTTTGGGGACTATTTATATATACTTTACCCATATGTTTATGTACTAGGGTTGCTCTGGTTATCAATGTAATTATTACATCTGATTAAAGGTAAGCATTCGATCGAGTCGAGTAAATTTTTTTTGAAATAACTCGAAACTGAGTTGAATTTTTGAGTTTCTGTTTAAATTTAATTATAAATATTTATAATATTATGATATTATTTTATTCCATTTAAAATAGTTTTTTACAATATAAATACATATATATATTTCTTCATATTTTTTATATATGGTATACATATATTATACAGAGTCAGGATTTGACTCAAACTTAAAAATCAATTCAAATTATTAAAAAAATTGAGTTATTATTCGAGTTATTCTTACAACTTGATTTGAACTTGAAATTTTTCGAGTTGAGTCATGTGTATGAAATTACAACTCAAAGTTAAGTCGAGTCGAAAAATTTGAGTTTTTGAGTCGAATCGAGTTTTACTCATCTATATGCTTGATGAGATGGAAAGAGCTCTACATGATGCTTCATCTATTGTGAAAAGGACTCTCGAGTCCAATATGGTAAACTTATTCCTAAACTATCAATTTTGATCTATTTTAGTTCCTAAACGTTAATTTGTTTTTCAAAACTTTACGTTAAATTTTGAACAAGGGTACTAAAATGAAACAAAACTAAACTTTAGGTATGATATAGAAAAATTTTAAAGTTTAGGTACTAAAATGAATCAAAATTGATAATTTAGGTACTAAACGCATAATTTACTCTAATTTTTTTTAAAATTAATCTATTTATTATTACACATGAACATAACCTGAGATTTCAAACTTCACATAAGGGGCTGAAATGTGTAGCACAGGTACAAAGATGTTTTGTCTAGTTTATATGACTATTCAATAAATTGTACTTAAATGAATAATTCAATTATTTTTACAGCCTTGGATCCTATTAAGTCTTTCATGAAAGGCTTAGTATCAAAATAAGTGCTCAAACTATACATTTTTTCAAATAGGTACTTAAATTATTTTTTACTCATTCCGGTGTCTAACGTTACTATAACATTAGATGCCTGGATGAATCAAAATATAGTTTAAGCACCTAATTAGGAAAAATAGTATAATTTGGACACTTAATTTGGTATTAAGTCTTCATGAAATTATAGTGAAATTCTGAAGTTAAATCTTTTGAATAAAACTTGAACCACAACACAACAAAACATCCCAATAAATTCTTGTGATTCTATTGCTCAAAAACTGCAAGAAAAACCTGTCCTAATCAAAAATTTCACATGAGATAAAGTAAAGATACAGTACACTTTCTGGATAAAATTGCAAGTATAAAAGAACAGCAACGAGCGATTATGGTTCTTTCAGATTTTAATCCTCTTCCTCTGAATCAGCACCGGCTGCTGCATTAAGGGCGTGCAAACGTTCAATCAACTTGGCTTTCCTTTCCTCATATGTTAGCTTCTTCAAGTTGAACCTGCGACGAGATTAACACAAACACGATAAGATATTACTGCCGAAGCTTCAGTGATTAGAAGTGTCGGATCATCGAAACCGACCTTTTGTGCTGCTTAGGTGGCTCCTTTTCGGATTTCTTAGCGGTTGGGTTGGCACGGATTGCGGCATGAACTTTCTTGTACAGGGTCTCGATGTTATCTGCCTCAATCCCCCTCTTGATGTACTCACTGAAGTGAGACTGATACTTCTCTGGCTCATCTTCCATTAAAATCTACAAAAATATCATATATAAGCATACCGAAGAGAGAGAAATAAACCGGCATCGTCAAATTCAACGAACGAGGTACTATAACGGATATAGAATTATTTACCCGCATATATGCAGCAACATGGCCACCGTATATGTATTTACGGTGAACCTCGGCATCGAGTTGCTTGTTGTCCTTGGAGAACCCAGCAAACCTCTTGTCACTATGAGGAATATCCAAACCGGCATCCAACGCTCCCTGATCAGACGAAAGCAAATTCCATTAACTCCAAAGTTCGAGGCTAGATTAAGAATAAGAATTCAACATAAAGAAGGAAAAGGGGTCACGGTCCGATCCAGTCATACTGCAGGAAACTGGTCATAAAGTCAAACCAAACCATACCTATAAGAAGACGATATCATCTAAAACAGATAAAATCGCAATTAGAATTTTTATAATACCTTCAGAGCACCAAAAACATTATTTCCAGTGGTTGTCCTGATCAGCCCTACATCAAGGAGAGCACGGAA